AAATTTTATCCTACAAGCTATTGCCTATTTGTTTTCTATTGGATAGGTATACAGAATTTTACAATATCCTTTTTTTATGATTAGTTAAAGTCATTTTGGAAATTTTTTTAGCCACAGATTGCTTGAAATTTGCATCAGCAATCTCTTGCAATAATTTTTCGTGAAGCACAAAGAGCAAGCCTTTGACTTTGTCGCAGTTTGCCTTTTGGAGATTGGAAAACATGTGAATATTGCGCACATAAGTTTTCCTCTATTCATTAGCTTTATTTACTTCAGTTCCATAGCTAACCCAAGTTCGGCTGTCCAAACTCTATAGGTAAACTGTCAAAACGTCGGCTAAACTATATCCCAATATTATTGTAAATGTCGAAGAAAGAGCAGTCTATGGATGTCAATTATATGTTTAAATACGTATTCCTATCTGGTCACCCTACCGCACATCTGCCTAAATCTGGGTAGACCATTCAGGGATGCCCGCAAAATCTTCTGTGATATGAGTTGTCATTTCACATCAGGCATAAATTATGTGATAGTCACGATATGAACTAGAAACAGCCGCTTCGCACCTGCACTCTACTGGTGCAGCCTCGACGACCCTCATTCAGCGAGGAACAAGGACACTTAGAGGGTGACAGAGAAAATAAGACCCTCATCAAAGAAAAATGGTGGACTTGCTTGTACTTCTGCTTAGAAAAACAATATTTTCAAATTTCTTATATTTATTCTTTGCAAATATATTTACATAAAAGACCCGTGATCATAAGACAAGTGAAATGCTCGTTGAGGAGACGTTGATTGGAGATCAGAAGTGAATCATGGAGATGGTCGGACACCTGGAAGGGAGATTGATGAGACGAGGAACGCATTCATTCAACGATTTGAGCTGCTTACCTTGGTTGTAAGGAGGTAACTGTGGAGGTGCATAAATAGAGCTTGTGGGGCTGGTTTGTTGTGATGCAACTGAGGATGAGCCAGAAGGGAAATAAACATCAAACTCCATTTCAGATTGTTGATAGATTCCTTGATTAACGGAGCAGGATTGGGCCATTTGTGCCATATATTCTGAAAGGGATGACTCAGTGCTAGGGCATTTATTAACAGTTTTCGTTTAGTTTTGAAACGATTATATAACTGATGTGGATTAAGGTAGAATTTTGGAAAAATCAAAATTTTCTACAAAATCAAAAAGGAACAATACAGACAAGGAACATTCTAACTATTCTTCTAAACAACGTTTTCATTTTTTTTGTAATTTCGCGCTTATTGCTGAAGTTTATTAAACATTCTAAGAAGTTGAAAAGATTTTAGAAAAAAAGGTAAAAAATTCTAAGAATTCAATCACAAATTTGAAGGAACTGATGGAAAAGGTTCTCAAAGGACCTAATAACTACCTGTTTGATTCATTCCTCCTTCGCTGAGTAGTAAGCTTTGTAGATACTGTATATATCGAACAGCTTCTCGTAAAGTGTCTGCCTTAGACAACTTTTTGTTGATTCCTGCCTTAGGTACTCGAGTTCGTAACAGATCAAAGCCATGGTTAACCTAAAACATAATCACGTAAGAAAGAAAAAAAATCAAATTTCTCTTAGGAAAAGTTTTTCTGAAA